TAAACGCAATTGCAACCTCAAGTTTTACTGCCAATTCAGGGGGAAAATTTTGAAACTCTTAAAAACCAGAAATGCATTCTACTAAATAAGACAGTAAAATGATTTTTCTTTTAAAATTTATTAGCAATCAAGTGAGAAAGATGTGACCAGAATGCTACAGATTTAACTGGTAGTCAACTTTCTGAAGGTGCCTGAGAATATGCCAACTCATTGTGTCAATTTGAGAAGATCTGAACAACCATATGTCTTATAAAATGAATATAACTATTATCACATTATTATCACTGTAGCTTTGAATCTCATAAAATTTAAAACCATAATTCAAACTAATAATAATATATGCTACTTCTTGTCAAGTACTGTCCTAAGTACTTTATGTCCATAGATTTTTCTCATTTAATACTCACAACTGCCCCACAAGATAGGCATCAACTGTTTTTAAAATGAGTAAACTTATAAGTTAACCCAATATAAGCCAAGATTTATTTATTTACTTCATTTATTCACTTAACAGATTTTACAGAACACCATTAGAATTCAACTCTGTCCAGCTCCAACATTCCATGTTTTTTACGTTAGACAAAAGTTTACACAAGTTATCTGAAACAAGCCCAAAACATTCCTTCTTCCAGATTTCTGGTCAGGAGCTTCCTCTCTCTATCCTAGTATGCTTTTCAATATTTATCCTATGAAAAAGAAAATAAGCATATGCTATAACTCATAATAGGCATTTTCTACCTCAGTCAGGAACCAAAATTTTGTTTAAAATAAATCAAGGCTCAAGTCTCAATAAGCCATTTTATGTGAAGCATACAATTGTTTACTCAGCTAACTGCAGAAAATGCCATTCATCATCTTCAAATGGAACAAACTGGAGAAAGATCATGTCTTCCAGATTTAGAACACTCGAGGCAAAGTATCTTGTATTATATGACACCTTACAAAATACTGAATGGGACTTTCCCTTCACTTCCTTTAAAAAGTTGAAGGCTTTTGTTGAACTGTGTCTATCAAGCAACGAGGGAGGTGTGTCACAGAAGATTCAGAAATTCTAGTTCTCCCTTTTAGTCCTGAGCTTTAATACTCTAATTCTTTCACTAACCTTGAGTGATATATCGGTCCAGTAAATTCGATTGTCTGTCACATCAAAATCCAAAGCAGAAGCTTCTTTGACACCAGTAAGCGGAATTGCCACATTATTATTGTTAGTTTCCAAAGAAATTCGTCTGATATCTGCTCTCCGTGAGAACAAAAGGAAAGCCTCTGGAACAATGCAGGTCTTCATGTCACTGATGAGTTCAAAGCCAATGGGGCAGGCACACCGAAGGCCCTGAGGTCTATAGAGGCAAAGATGGCTACAGCCCCCATTTTCCTCAGCACAGGGGTTGGAACCTAAAAGATAAACTCATGATAAAGGGGCACAGAAGGACACACACATTGACACAATCAACACATTTTCACTTTTAAATTACTAAGCATTTGGTTCACAAAGACCTATGATTATTTCTGCTCCCAATCTAGAATCTCAATTTTAATTTCACAAACAAGCAATAC